AAAAAAAGGCAAAAAGCTCTCTCGGAGGAACTTCACTGAGCGAGGTTCAACTCGGGCAGCGCTCCCGCCTCGGCTGCGCGCGGTACGCTCGGAGAGAAGGCGAACTTTCATTTTCACGCCGCATCCTCCCCTCCGCCCCAAGCTGTGACTGATCGTAACATACCTGATGGCCGGGTTAGTGCTCCCACCCGCGTTTCAGGGATGGGGAAGCCGAGATGGAGGTTAGCGAGCTGCCGAAAGCCGCGGGGGCAAGGCAGGCTACAGTGCCGCCCGAGCCGCTCGCTGCCTGCACTTGACTTGTGCCTCATGAAGGGTCCTTCCCTGGGAGCTCCGCGGACCCTGCCTCGGCTGGGAGACCCAGCGCATCCCTGCCAGCCGCTCCTCGAGCTTTCTGCCTTCAGGGTTTCGGGTTTTTTTTACTAATCTGATGCACTTTTTAGAAAGGGAAAGGAAAGCAGGGGCCTCAGATCTGCAAACTGTTGTACTCATGACTTAGGGGAAGATTTTTCAAAAGTACATAATGGGAGTCTGGGAGCTCTGTTCCCACTGACTTTCAAAATCTTCCCTTCGCGTCTGTGAGCAAGTCCTCTTGAACTCGGTTGGACTGCTGGCAGACGAGCGCTAGCAGGCTCAGGGCCTAATGCTTTTCATGATTCTACTGCTCCCTGCTAGAGCTGCACTGACAAAATATAAGCAGAACAAGTTTTGAAAGGGAGAGGTAATTTCTCTTTTTTTTTTTTTTTTTTTTTTTTTTAGCCACCGCTACAGTGCAAAACACCAAGCTTTTGGGCTCAAAAAGCCTAGACCATCATGGCTACGAAAACTACTGCTGCTCAGAGACCATGTAATTCTGAAGTTCCTTAAGGAAAAAAGCAGTGCAACATGTAAGTAATCACATAGCAAATATTATGCATTTATATTATTATATTTTCCTCTGAATTGAAGTTTGGTGCTGCTAAAGAAACTGATTCCTAATTTTTTAAAACCAAGTTCTTAATGAAAATGAGCCAGATGACAAAACTTCAGATCGTAAAGCCATTCTATTAAGAAGGAGGAAATATAAATTATTTGTAGTATCTTTACCTTTTTGCTCTTTTATTAAAATTACTCTGAGCAAAATTTTTGAAAAGTATGCCTTTCAACTGAAAAAAATGATAGTACATATTTTCTAATTTTTTTTTCCTGAAGGTTATGTGCCTGTGAAAATAAAACTTTGCAGTAGAAGTAGCAGTGAAAAGAGTAAAGAAAAATATAAAATTATGGTGCTGCTGATACCACTTCTCTGTACTTATATTTTGTATAGTTTTGCCCTAAAATAATTCTAGTTATTATTTTCCACCCATTTTTCCAACCCTAATATAAAAATAAGATGTAGAAAATAGTATATCAATATTCTGTGATACAGTGTTTCTGTGATGCATGGTATTTTTTAATATGAACAGGGCACTACTTTCAGATATCATTCCTAAGATTTCATTAAGATTTTTAATGAAAGTGAAATTTTTACATCCCCTAATATCTAGTACTTGCTCTCAGGTTCCATTCTTAATGCACATAGGCCCTGTTCTGCACAGACTGAAATGTATATTATTATGTGTAAGCACACTGAGAAGTTCTCTTTATTATTATTCTCTTGTGTTTCGGACTTACAAAGCTAACAGTGACATTACACAATCATTATTCTCAGAATTACTTAAGACTGCATAAAGCTTAAACCTAATGTGATAGTCTTAGTTTACACCTTCTATCCATATGTCTTAAATAATGCACAATTACAATAATTTGTGGATCAGAATGGGTAAATATTTAACTGAGAATATTTAGAAGAATAATAGAACAATTTAGAAAAGCAATTGCTGTAGTGTAAAAATCTTTGTAAGAGGAGGTGGCTATTGCATTCTTTAGCTGTAGCATCTGGGAGAGGATCATCAGTGTGTTTCCTCAGTGACTAGCCAAGCCAAAAAGTCACAGCAGGAACACAGCTGAGGACAGAAGGAAAAGAAAGGGATTTTGAGCCTCACCAAAAATAATATAAATCTTTTAGATCAAATTTCCATCCCAAACAAATTGGACTCATCAAAGTGGTGAATGTCTTATCTGCTGGGGAAGCAGATATAGAAACTGCAGATAAGCTGCAGTTTCTATAATCAACTCCTTTCTTCATGCAGTTCTCATTCTGAACACCTCCTCATAGTGCCTGTCCTGCATTACAGGTCCTTCTCCTCAGAGAGTGCCATTAAATTGTCAGAGAATCTCCTCATACAGTAAGAAGTGACATGACCAGCATTTGTCATATTATCTGCTCTTTTGTTGCCAAGGGAAGGAGCATGTGCAATTGAGTGTTTTCAGTTTATTGTATCTGCCTTTACTTCCATACACATTATGTCTTTATGTTAGTGAGGTAAGGCTGAAGTAATATGTTTTGTTCTTTGAGCAAGGTGCAGTTATATTTCTGATGGCCCTTAGTTCTTGGGCAGTTTCATTCTTTAGACTGAAAGTTCTGTCTGTAGAACTTTCAGCATTTTTTCCCACTTCTTGCCTAGGTGCTCTTATGTCAGGAGTGGGAAGCTGTTGCCGACTGGATCCAGTCTAGAGACCTAGAAAGCACTTCTTGGGGAATCCTGGTTTTATGCCCTGGAGAATCCTGAGCCCCCAGATTTGTAAATTAAAAGTCTAGAGAAAATCAGTGTAAATAAGGGCTTATAATAACCTACATTGCTAAGATGACATCCCCCCCAGCTTCCTGTACTTGGAGTTTCCTACATGCAGCAGGCTTTGTGCTTGGATGTACTGGATTGCTTAGATCCAGTTGAAAGGTGGCAAAACCAAAGCAAGGCACTTGTCTGCTGAAATGACACAGAAACTCCTAGCTAGGGATGGTTAGAAAGCTGGAGGCTGTCTTCTGGCTCAGGCGTGCATTACTTTACAAATTACCTTGCTATGTGTTTTTAAGATTTATTTTACAACTGTGAGGATTAGAGGAATTTGTTGTAATGAAAACTGGCGTTGTGTCATTACTCTGTAACTTTTTAGTTAGATCATTTGGCTTGCCTGGGCTCTTGCATGTTTTTCTATTTCACCTGGAAAGTTCCTAGGTAAGTTAGACCAATTGGGGGGCACTAAGGTACACCCACATGATTATAATAATTGCACACCTACATATTGTTTTGGTATTCAGTGTTTGTACTGTATCTGGACATATAGCCAGTGGAAATTTGAATTTTTTTCCTACTTATTTTTCTAATTTGAGCCCTGCCTTGCCCCTGATGCTCATCCGGCCTTCTAGATCCCTGTTATAGGTTCATCTAAGCCTCCCTTCAGGCCTCCCCTGTACATTTCGTATCACTTGAAGTTTAAAGTTTCAGTTTAATAACCTAGAAACTATAGTTGGGCATCCTCCTTCATGTGTATTTTGCTTTCTGCTGTAGCCATTCAGTCTCTATTTTACCCTGACAAATACAGGATTTGGAATTCATTGCTTTGCAATTTTAGTCTGCTTGCAATGATGACAGTTGTAATCTAGAAAGGACTGAGGTGGACAGCATTTACTGTTGTACAATGAAAAGAGAGTTTTGAATTTGCCAGAACAAATCTGGTCTAAGGATACTTCTATAGACTGTAAGGACTGCAAGAAGTATGTGCTGCCTTAGGACATGCACACGCTTTATTAGATTTCCTATATACTTCCACGTGAAAAATAAAACTAGCTTCTTTTTTTTTTTTACCTCCTCATTTTTCAAGAGCAAACCTTCAATTTATATTTTTTTAAACCACTAAAATACTCAATATGGCATAAAGACTAGTGGTGTAGTCATCAAAATGTTGGATTTCTATGTTTTGTTAGCATCTTATAGTATTGACTCCTACATATCTATAGGCCTGACTCATAATAACAAACCTATCCCTGAGGATTTAATAAGGAGTTGGTATTAAACTTAGGTTCTGTGGTAAAATTTTGCTTAAATGGTCCAACTGTAACTTCTAGACATTTTAATATTTTTGTGGATTTAATGGTTATGAAAAGTTCTGTCTTGGTATCTGTTAAAACTGAAGCCCACTCTTTTATTTATGGATTAATTACAGCAGAACAGTGGCCAAGTGGTCTTCTCCACAGCAGCCATGATCTTCAATCTTGAACCCAAGAAGACTCATCAAATGGTGAGAAAAGAGCATGGTTGTCATGACTTTTAAGTTAGGGATGCTCTATTATTTTTTCCTGTTTAGCACTGATTCTTTTATTTAATAGGTATTGAAGTTAGTTTTTGTGGGGTAATTTCTGGGACCATAGCATAATTTTTCCTCCGCACCCCATATTTCAGCTGTTAATTTTTCAAGCTTTGCTTTATTCCTTGCTGTCCTTAACTTCAAAAATAATTGTTAGTGATACACTGAATTCATTAGTTAATTTCTTTATCACTTTCTTTAGCCTTAGTCCTGTGCCTGACTCTGTTCAAATGAATACTTTTATCAATAGCACTACCTAGAAGAGTAAAGTTCAGGATATATGAAGCTGTTTGAAAGATTGAAGTTTAAATTTTACAGATGTGAATGCCTGCAATTAAATGGAATGCTGCTGAAATGACTGCAGGAGTGGGGGATCTGAAAGTGCTTTTAGCTAGTATTAGTTTGTTTGCTCTTTTGCATACAATTTGTTTCTTTTAAGACTAAAAAATGGAAGGTGTTAATTTGCTTCTCTATTTTCCCAGTTTCTGGGAAGTTTTGAACTCTGAACCTCACAACATTTATAAAATTTTAGTAGTGTTCATAATTCTGGGAAGAACAAAACATTATTTTGTTTAGCCATTTTGTGAAAAGGTGACTGGATATAGAGGAACTATTTCTCTTTTTCCTTAATCAGGTCTTTAATCCTAGTCATAAGAATCACTCGATAATGATTTTTATATGTATGGGTTTATTAAGCATAGATCTTAAAATGAGGAGTTTCCTTTCTTTTAGAGATATAAATAAAGGATGGTAGCAGGGACTTGCTTGTGTAAGAATATAGTACTTAACTGTTGTTGTTGTTGACTTCCTGATAATTTAGGTAGGTGACAGTTTCAAATAATGGTGCACAGAATGATCCATAGCTCAGGAGATGGATCACAGTGACCAGAAGTTCAAAGAATGCTGAGAGATGCCCCAGACATTTTTGGTATCTCAACAAATCAATATTTGTTTTCCTTTAATAACTGTATTGTAGAGTAAGGAGTAAAAGGGACAGAACCCTATTAGTGGCTTATGATTTCCACAGTTTATCCTCTTGGAATATGGAATATTTACCCTGTCTCAGCTGTTTACCAAACTGGGTTTGGAAGCACAAGAGAGATGCTGAGCCCTTTTTGCCAACATCTGAGCTACACCCTGTGTTAAGAATTACTTTAGTACTGTTATCAACCACTAAACTTGCTTGACCTCTGCCAAGGTTCTTTACCATTTCATGTTTTAAAAACAAGGTTTAATACTTAAACCAGAAAGAAGCAGCAGTTTTCAGGCACAGTACATTGAGATGTAACCCAGAGGTCATTTATTTTTAATACAGATTCAACAATCGGTTTCTTTGTTCCTTCTCAGCCATTTTTTCTTTAGTTTTCTTTTAGAGAGCTGATTCTTGAATTAATTTTGAGCATTTAACTATCTGCATTCTCTACATCAGTTAATCTTGCACTTAAGTAAAAATACTTGCATGAGTGTGGGAGAGAGGAGTCTGACCCACATTAGTCCCTTGCATCTTGTATTGACTTTGCCTATCTGGTAACCAATGGGCTGGATCCCGACCAGCAGCCAAGTGCTGGTAAAAGTGTGAGTCTGTTTGTAGAGTAAGGAGCTGAGGCTCAGTTTTGGATGTGTTTTTGATACTACAGACCTAGTGAAAAATAACAATAGGATGTAAATTGATTTCCAGATTTAAGCCCTTCTTCAGTTGCTTACTTGAGCAGAGTTTAGTAACTCCAAATGCTTAAAGTTAAATGGTTTTAAGGTTTTCGTGAGGCATTTTTTGAATTGATGTAATTCTTTCACTTTGACAGAAGAAGAGGTAGGCCAATGTCAAACTGTTTTGAAAGGCTTGTTTTCATTACCCTGCTTAGAATGTAACTTTGTTTCTTTTGTTCCATCCCCATTTGGCTGAATCACTTTCACTTCCCTGACTCTTCTAAGACCTGTTGTGTCCTGCTAACCTTTCCTCTAATGTTCAGTTTTCTATTAACTTTTCCACACTGATTATTCTTTGTCTCTCTCGTCTTTTTTTTACTGGAGTTTTAGGGAAGTCATTATACATCTTCAATTTCTTTCCTTCCTTCATCCTGGAATCCAGCAACATATAAACCCCTCTGATTTCAAGTTTGCCTTTTCAGTGAGAAATACGCAAGTTAAAAATGTAGTGCTATATCAATAGAAAAGGTAAACAGAGAATTGTGGATGTCATTTCTAGAAAAGGAACTGGGTTTTGCATATTATTAAAACCTATTCCCTAATTTTGGATACCAGGATCCAGGCAGTAAGATCAGGATTTTAAGGTGATGCTTTAAAAATCACTATGCTTATAAAAAAAAAAAAAAACCCTAAAAAACCAAAAAACAACCAACTTAACAAAAAAAAAAAACCAAACACAAAAGTACAATTATACTGAATAGACTGATTAGGCTTGATGTGGCTGTTTTATTGAGCTGTCTATCATTGAACTTTTTTTAAGCCTAAGGAAAGACAGTATGGAGTTGGAAGAGAAGCATGGATCTCCATGAGGGGCAGTCAGTTATAGTCATGGTAAGTTAAAAAAAATACTGTATTTCTGTTAAATTATCACCTTTATGAAGTAACCTGTATTCAGGGCCCTGTTCACATTGCAAAATGAATCCAGTTTTTTTGAAAGTCTCTACATTAATTTATGCTATCACTGTGTAACAATTGTGTTTTGTTGTATCTGACTTTGTGATGTAACTCCTGAATGAAAACAGTAAGTGTCATAAAAATCATTATTATCACAGTGATTATGCTACAGTGTTTTCATGCCTAGGTTCTGAACAAAACAAGTTATATTATAGGGTTATGTTATCTCCTAATAACTTTCAAATCCACTGCTTAATTTCAGCTGCATTTGATATAGAGGTAGAGGTCACAAAGTCAAGTTTCTGCAATTTGAATGAAATTTAGCAGCTGTGAGTAGAGAAGGGACTCAAATTAGTGCCCCTGGGGTAGAAAAAGCTGCAGCATGGACTCAGAAATTTTCTATTCTCTTCAACCTGTTGCCTTGCAGGTCAGCATGCTTGGTTGGTCTGCCACTTGACACGTGTAGCTCAGAGCTGGCCACAATGTGAGCTGCTTCCTGTTCTCCTAAACATCAGAAGCTGAAATTTAGAGAAATCTGTTTAGAAGAGACTGGGAAAACAGCCAGGCTAGCTCAGTACAAGTGTGTTGGTGGCACCTGTAAGCATGCAGGTAGGTAACTACACTTCATTATTTCTGCTAGTCATGAAAAAGCCTTGGTTTTGCCAGGGCCTTCTAGTCTTCCAAAACACTTGTGAATCATTCTATGATATGGTGTTTTCTATACCTGGATTAGAAAAATGTTTTTCTTGTCCATGTCAGAGAAGGGAACTGTTGAGACAGCTTCAGTATTTAATTTCTTTGGCTGTTTGTATGTTAGCTCTGAGCCATTTCTTAGGCTGTCAAAATTGTAAAACTGTGTTTTCAGCTCTCTCCAGAAACTGATTGTAATTTAGACTGCAGCTATGTGTCCCTGACCCATCCTACAACCTACTCTTTTGGAACAGTGCAGAAAATATGCATTGTATTCCAATATACTTCATTTGTGAAGAAAGATGTGGAGCTAGATACAGGGAGAGAAAACAGTATTAGGATCAGGCTTCCTCAAGTTACCACACTGCATTGCAACCTGAAAAATGCAAAATCACAGCTGTGTGATTTTATCACCAAAATCATTCTGAAAGGTCTTGTCTGCCCATTCATCTGAGTCAGTGAGAAATGGGCAGATTACAATTGCCAGAGGTGCTGGGTCGCTCACTGTACAGGCTCAGGTAGGCACACTAACTTGGCATATGTCTGATATTTTAAAATTTTCTGTGTTATGTTAGACAGGGGTCAAGATACAACACTCTTTAAACAAAATTTAGTGCTGTAGTGTATTTAAAAGAGGTTGAATTTCTCAGAATAACAAGCCTAAGAGTCATGCATATGAAATGTAAAATTTGAAAGAAGTAACATGAGAGGAAACACTTCCAGTTCAGTATCATAAGGTAACTGTCTTCAAATGTCAAATTTTGTTTGCCCAGTTGAAAACCATCAACCTCTCAACAAGGAACAAAAGCTTGTGGTACTCTGTTCCATTTTCTGCTAATTTTCATGGGGTTTTTTCACAATATCAAAGCCAAGAAGAGAACAATTAGTCATTACAAAAAAACCCCTTGAACAAACTGCATTCAATTTTATGAAACTTTTGGGTTGTCAGATTCTCAAATCCTTTCATTTGGTCCCAGCTTTTTGTTTATTTGTTTTTAAGTATTGTTATTTCTTCTGCAGTGCTATCTGTATTAAAGGAATGAAGAAATGGTTTTTTTACATGTTTCTAGGATCTGTTTGTTCTTGAAACCTTTATCAGCAGTGGTCTTGCCTAGTATCACCAGTTAAATATTACTTAATGGTACCTATGGCTATCTGACATTTAAATCGTTATAACATATAAGCATATTGTAATTTATAACATTTTCCTTTTAAAGATCAACCTAGATGTGTTTTCAATAAGAAGAGTAAGGTCAAATAATGGATGTTACGTTTTGTGTGAACAGCAAAGTGGTGGTGTGTTGTTTAACTATGTTGTGTGCTTCCTATGTTTTAAATGGTGTTCACAAAGTCCTTAAACTTAATGAAGTTTTTCATAAGGATTTTTTGTTTTAAAAAGATACCACTTTTTGGTCCAAAAATTACTAATTCTAAACTGCTTTTCATTATGTATTTTTGAAGACTTCAGTCCTGGATGCTACTGTATGTGGTCAGATACTTTCACAGTCATGAAGACCTCAAAAAATTCACAGACCTATGCTGCATCCCTAAAATGGATGTTGTGGGACAGACTTTAAGAAGGTTGAAGCACTAAAAAGAGACTTGCACAGCACACCAAGGAAACTAGCATAAATAATTTTTAGAAAGTGATAATTAAAAAATGATATTTCAATTAATATCAGTAAAAGCTTCCATAATGTGCTGTCACTACATGCAAAATTCATAAGCAATTTTAAGCCAACATTCTTTAAAGAAGGAGCTAAAATGCCTATTAAAAATATGCAATTTAAAGATGTATGGAACTCCTTTATTATGTGCTAAATGCTGTAATAAAACAGGCTATCAGTAGGTTTTGCTGCATGTTACTAATTTTATTTTTTTTTAATCTTGGTATTTTTGCAGGTGTGTGGAAGAACAGGTCCTGTTCTCGCTGTTGTTACTCCCACATAGGCAGACTCTGTAATTGATTATGTGTGGGTAGGGCCCTATTGAAATTCAGGAGATTCTGCAGTAGTGCGGGGTTCTTTTTGTGACAGTTCAGTTGCAAGATCAGGACCCTACTGTGACTCCTTACTGTGCATTCTGTCACTGTCTCATTGGTTGTACTGGAACCTGCCTGTTGGGATAATGTAAGTCCTGCTTCTCCCCCACTTGTACTTTAGATGTGAATTAACCATAAAACATTTGTAATTAGAAAATTAGTATCATTTACATACATTCTTTTAATTATGTTTTTTTGGCAGTACCAAATACTATATTCCTCAAAACTTCTTAATGGCACTGAGGCTTTGTGGATAGTTGGTCACATGATGAGAAAATTCAGCTGTAAGTACATTAAAATGATTGACTTTTTCAATAGTTTGTCTTTACTGATGTTGGCAAACTAATAGTGATAAAAATGTGAATCAAGAGGTTTGACTTATGTCAAATTACTTCAGTTCTTTTTAGAAAATATATAGAGTATGCCCATTAAGGATCTTATTATTCTTAGGTAATTCACCATGGGACCCTGAAGTTCTTCCCTACTGCAATTAGGTAGGGAGTTGAGAGTTGTTTGTTTTTTTTTTTATTTTCAGAATGGTGTGTCTCTGTCTTGCTCTGTGTTTTGATGGATAAACTTTTTGAAATTTATTGATCTATAAAACTTGTTTATACCACTAATATTTGTATAGATATTGCAAACTGATTTACTAACGTAATTGTCTTGCTGGGTTGAATACTGAAATGTTAATAAATATACACTTATATTTGTGTCAGTGTACCTTGGTTAAATTAAACTGAGCTGGCATTATGAGTGAATTTGATCATACATGCTGATTAGCTATAGTCTTAGGCAGGGACTACATATTACCCATATCATATGTCAGTGGATTCACCCAAAAATAGCTATAAATATCTATGCTTGGGTTAAGGAGGAAGTTCTTTTCCTGTAGTTATGGGTACAGTCATTGCTTTGACTCCTGTTTTTATATACAAATGAGCAAAGACTACATGTAGGTGCTTTCCCTGTATAACAAAAGGGGCATTGTAAACTCTGTGCCCTTTTTTATGATGTTGTATTTCCTTTCTGGTATTTAAATTCAAGGATGTTTTCAGCTGTGTCTTAATCCAAAAAAAAAAAAAAGGAAGACCTGGAAGTGTTACTGAATTTGTGGATAATTACCAAGGGGCTGTAAAGGTCTGGAGGAATTGTGTGTAGGGACAATTAGAGATTCTTTTTCATGAAGCAAGGACACAGATAATAATTGATGAGGAAAGGTTAAGGAGCACAGGATTATTTTTATTGCTTGGCACAAGAGCAGCATGAAATGAAAGTAATTTGAAGAAAGAGCAAGACCAAAAGAGAAATAGCTACTGGTATTTTTCATTGCACTGAATATATGATTGATTTAAGCTTAAGATTTTCAGTAAATGCTTTTCTAGAAGTTTTTTGTTTTCTTCTGCTGGAGAGGAGTAGAAGAACTTCGAAGTGTTAAAGAAGACTCAGTGACTACTTGTGAATTACAGTATGAGTTGGGGATTCAAGATGACAGTTACAATTAAGAAGAGAAGACAATGGGTTGCTATATAAAATTAGTGCCAAGCAGAAGCCTTAATTTCTTGTTCAAACACAAAACTTAATGATTTTGAAATGTATCACCTTCAACAGCACTCAAACCACAATTTTATTATGTTAATTACAGGATGGGTATTTTCAGAGTTCTCATTTAAAAGCTTGAACATTTATTCTTTTGAGATTTTGCAATATAAAATGAAATTGAGATTTTTCAATATGGAGCGAAATCATGATTTCATTTCAGAAACTGAAATGTTTCAGAACACTGAATGTTTCATTTTGCATAAAAAATCCTGAACAGTGTATTTTCTTTTTAAAATGTGTAGAGACTTAAATGTTTGCCATTCTCACCTTTTAATCCTACTGGCCATAGATATTTTTTACTTGCAGTAAGTTGGGTGAAAGAAAGGAAAGCAGAATTAGATTAGGTGATTGCAAAAAGCCCCTAAACACAGCCTTCTAGCTGAGCCTGTAGACCAGAAGTGCCTCAGAACAGATCTAATTTCAGAGGAGGAAGGGAAGGAAAGTGACATGCCAGTGAGTGGGTATGGGGAATCCTCTGCATGTGTCATCTCTGTCTGATTTTTTCGCTCATCACCACTGAGAGGCAGATCACCTGGGTGTGACTGCTTCCCCTTCCTGTGATTGCAACTTCCCACTACTTTGAGGGAGATAATGGTGGGGCATAGCTCTGTTCTGCCTGCAGCAGCACTGCTACCAATGTTTGGAAGAGAAGAAACTCTGAATTATCTCCTGCTGTAACCAGCTCTCCAATACTCACTGCTGCTTAGCCCTGCTGTTAAGTACCTGATCTGATGGTCTCTTTCATTTAACTCATGCCATGATGCTATAAATGACTGAAACGAGGACCAAAGCAAGGAAATGGATATCAAGAGAAGGAGATGATGTTTTGGAATGTAGGGAGTGGGCATTTGCTGCACAGCTACACTTTGTCCTCTCTTGAGAATACCTCAAGAGTTGGAATGCCAAACTACAGCAACAGAGTAAGTTTTCTTCTGTGCATTGAGAAGGAAGAGCAAAGGAATGTGCCTGAACATTCAGCATGTTATTTGTAAGTCTTTGAGATCTCTTCCCCTACTATTGTTTGCACTCTGCTTGTATGGTGACTGTCCTGAATGTAGCATGTCTTTATTTGTATCGAATGAGGCACTCCTCACATTGTAACATCAGGAACATTGTTTTTCTTCAGCCCTTGAAAGTCAAAACATGGTAGCATAGATAGCTGTAACAAGTTCATAATAAAAGTGACATGAAAGAATTTTCTTATTTTGCAGTATTTTTAGGACAAACAATGTTTTATGTGTTTCAAATACCTTTTCTTTTCCAATCCTAAGCAGAATTAATGCATGAAAATTTTCTTCAGCAATGCCCTCAGTTCCTTATTTGCAGTTAGAACTATTACTCTTTTGTTAGTTAATTTTTTTTGTAATCTAGGTTGATGCCTTCACAAAACTTCTCTGAACCCTTTATGAATGACATCATCATGCTGTCATTTGTTTTATCACAAAATCTAGTGTAAACCTGTATTTTAGGAATCTTTTTCCCATCCATAAAGGATGATCATTCTTCTCTGTCAGCAGGTTTTTCATCGATCAAGACTTTATTAGAAAATCTTTTACTTTGCCTTGACAAAATGCAGCCTTGCCTTGCTCATTAGCTGTCAAAGTGCTGCTCTACTGTAAATACCATTTTCCAAACCTACTCCTTTGCTATTTTCAATTTCCTGCTTCATTTTAGAGCAATAAATATAAGCTATCTGTCTTTATTTATTATCTGTCTTTATTTTACTACTTCTACCTGATACCTCTCCTTCAGTACCAAGAGGTTGACTCTGGTTTTGATCAACATATGATGCCTACTTCCTTCATTCAGTCATTGAATTTTCAGACCACACTGAATATTTTCTCCTCAGCTGCCTCTCATGTACTCATTGACTTCTTCATAAATAGAAGTGTTCATTATTTTCCCTGTAATTTTTTCTTGAAAGTTTTATGCACTGTGAAGCTTTAAGCAATCCAACTAGACAACAATTATACTGTGGGTACATAGATCCTAATGCCTATCACAGTAGTACTGTGTAATTGCATTTGGACTCTGCCATAACCCCTCTGTTGCCACTTTATGTAGAATTTAAGTATATCTATATTTTGTTGTGTGTTTATTCATGGCCCAGTGTAATACAAAATGGCCCATGGTGAGACCTTCCAAGATTTATGGTATTACAGATAAATAATAATGAATATGCACTGGATGCTGCAGCATAGCTGTTGGATTCTGTTGTGCCTAATGCCATGTCATAATTTAATGCAGAAAGAAGGTGCTCCAATCAGAGGCCTCACAAAAGGAAAATAAGTGAGTTGCAGCCAATAGAAAAAATGCTAGGCCTAGGGGCCTTCTCAGCTGTCAAACTCAAGTCTGTAGCTACTGCCATTGTGTCCTGAAAACTCTCCTCTCCCTTTCCCTCTCCCTCTCCCTCTCCTCCCTTCTCGTATAAGGAGGTATATATCACAATGCAAATATCACAATGGTCTGCAGTGTATGCAGAAGGTCTTCTTACTTTTGTAGCCAACTTCATTTCATTCCTGACACAGCATCTCTTGGTACAGAAGTCTAATAACCATAATTGTGCCATTCATCAGTCCTTTTTTCAAGTGCCATTTGGTCTCTGTTGGGAAGGAACCTACGCTGGTTTTTATTTGGTATCTTGGTATGTCCCTATCTCATGATGCTCCGCTTCCATTGTGCTTCAAAAGTAATGAGCCTTCAGAGAAGTGGTAAGGATTAATAAATTTGGAATTCCCCAGGCATGTCACCCTCTTTCTGTAAGTGGGTCTGCATGTAACTTCTTCTTTTAAAAGCACCCTGAAATGTCAGTGTTTAGATTGTACAGAGATGATGGAATGTTGAGTGCCTGGCTGATTACGGAGATGGTAGATTGGACTGTGCAGACAAATGGTGCAGTATGTACCAAAGAAAATATAGTCCAATAGACTAATTTTATCAGAATAAACCACAAATTGTAGTTCTGTATGGTTCTATGGCTGAGTAGGAGAACTTTAGTAAGAGCTCTGGGCTAGTTGGAGAGATGGAGGTGAAATTGCTGTGAAATACTGTGGGAGCCTGGGGGGTCTGTACAACCCAAAAGCTTGATCCTGGCAACAGTTCTTGGTTATATATGTATAGACTGGATAAACTGAATGTTAGGCCTCATTAGGCCATCATGCACAGGCTGCTATTTAGATATCATTGAGCACTAATTTTTGAGCAAACAAGATAGAGAATCCAGAAGGAGAAAGACAGCCCTTGATTTAGTCTAGATCAACATACAACAAGTGACAGTGGAAGAACCATTCAGTAGCGAGATATCATACTCAAGTTTGTTGTACTTGTCAGAGAAAAAAAGCTTAAAATAAAATTTTTTAAAAGTCCAGTCTTGTTTAAAAAAGATTGTATACTAATGAAGACACAGTTTAAATAAATATTCAAAATACACAGGGGCTTTGTTTTCTGATTCTAACCCAATTAAACAAGCCTTTTCCAACACAATTCAGCAGTAAAAGAAGCTACTAGAAATAGAGATTTTTTAAAAAGCAAAATCCAAGCAAGCAAAGCAGAAAAGAGCACAGTTCTGGCAAGTGTAGACCTAGTATGAGGCAGAACAAAAAGATTTTGAAATGCAATGGACTAAAATTCTAAAAGCCAAACCCCACATATTTCCAGTGTAAATTTTGCTAGATGAGAGGTGAGGTTAATAGATAGTTGTGGTTAAGGAGAAAGACAAAGCCATTACAAAAAGAAATTGAAAGAAATTGAACTCCTTGTGCTGGCAAGGTTTATGACAGGATGATTAGGGACATCCCCAAATAGGAGTTGTTTTTATAGGAAGTAGTTCAGATTTGATATCTCAATAAAAGGTTTTAAAACAAATTGATTGAATACACATTAATAAATTGCCCAG